AAAAAAAAAAAAAATCTTTCTTGGCTGCTTTAAAAGCTAAGGATTAGTAGCAATGTTCTGACCTGAAATTTAGGTCTTGTGATTTCTTTCCAGGAGATTTTTCACTGCATGTGAAACCTGTCTGCAATGGCCTTATTATTTAATTCAATCTTAATTGGATACAAACTGTCAAAATTTAAGGGATTGTTGGAAGGCCTCAAAAGTGCTTGTATTCTTCAAATGGTAATATTAATTAATCATTGGGAAGTGAAAAATGTATTTCGCCACGTTACTGAACCTTCTTGCTATAATATGTTCTAGAACCATTTCTCATTTCTTTCAAATTTTGAAAGTTTCAAGGACGGGAAATTTAATTCCTAGAGTGTATGTCCTGTTTAGGGGACGATTCAGCCATTTTCAAAAGGAGGCTAAGCTTTATGTTTGGCGATGTATATTTTAGGAATTCTCCACGTGGCTTAATTATGCGCACGCCTTAATTGTCAGAAGTCAGTCAGGCTTCATCTCCTACTGCGACCCCTTGGAGAAGAGTGGGATGCTGAGGGATCCAGATAGGGTGGGTGAGGACCAGCTCCTTAAAACCGCCTTTCATAACCTGGCCGGAATCACCGAGCGCTATCAGGCCACCGCCCGAAGAAGCCAAAGCCCTGAGGCTTTTCTTTTGCAAGAGATGTAAATGGCTGGCTTGGGAGAGAAAGCTAGGGAAGAGGGTTCTTTGAGTCACCCACTTCTAGTCCCGTTACTGACTCTTGGAGAATATCGAGGATGCAAGGTAGGACCATGCCTATTGTTATTCTCTCTGAGACAAAGGCTCGGCTGGCAACTGGTGCCCATCCTTCCCATTGAGTGGGTTGGGGGAAGATCGGATGGCAGGGGGAATCTGTTTTGCTTTGAAGCGGGCTTCCCCAGGTCCATCCAGCATTTCCCTGGCCCAGCCCCGGACGCCGGGAGGACGCGGCGGGGCAGCCGCAGTGGCCTCTGCGTCAAGGGGTAGTGGGGCGGGGAGGCGCGGTGCCCAGCCTGCGCACCCTGCTCCCTCCTCCGCGCCCCGCCGCCGCCCACAACCTCTCCTCCCTCGCAGCTTGTCGGCGGCCGCAACACGGGCGGGCCAGGCACGTGGGCGCCTCCGTCACACCCTCACTCATACACACTCACACATGCGCGCGCACACACGCACCCGCGCGCCTGCATCCCGTGCTGTTCCCCTGGCAGACACACAGGCGCTCACTAGTCTCTCCTTGCCAGGCTGCAGGGCAGCGACCTCCTAAACCCAGCCCGAGGGCCCGCCCTTGGCAAGCAGCTGCTTCTCTCCAGATAGCTCCTTTGGGGCCTCGGTCAGAGCCGCCTGGACCCTTTCGCGACTGCTGCAGCCAGGACGTGGAAGCAGCAAGAAGCTCTGGGGCAAGGCACACTAACGGTAATGACATGCTCCTACGCTAAGGGCACGGCTGGGGGTGAGGTGGGGCTCGCCATTAGCCACCTAGGATCCCGGGGACCCGGACTGGGAACGAACTGATGGATGGATCCCGAGCTCCGTCCTGGGGCGGGCGGCTGGAGGGAGAATGGCTCAAAAGCCCTGGGAGGGAGAAGCTGCGCTCGGCGAGCGACCCTCTAGTCTCTGCGTTCTGCATCCGTGCACAATCGGGGTGGGGGGGCGAGAGGCTGCACATCTAGGAGGAAGCACATGGGTCGAAACGTGCCGCCATCCTTCCTTCCTTCCTTCCCGTCGTGGAAACTGCCCATGGCATCCCCAGAGACCTACTCATTTCCAAGTCAAGTCGAGGTTGTAGGGTGGGGTCCGACACCCGGGAAGTCCGAGAGGAAAGTTGGGAGGGTCAGGGTGGAAACAGGCGCTTTCGAGGTGATTGGAAGCCGAACCTCGTGCAGGTGGGCGGCGGGGCGGGGAGAGCAGCGAGCCTCATTCCTCATTCGCTTCTGGTTGCTTTTGCAACTGCAGAAGGCGACTACGGAAGGCTGAGTGTTTTCACGTGACCACAATTCCCTTTTTCTTGAGGCATCCTGTAATAAATGGTCCGAAAGTGGGCCTTTCGCCGCGCACAAGGCACGTGGCTGCTGGAGAAAGCACAGCTCGCGTGTTTCTGCCCATCCTGGAATATGAGAGTGTGCCTGCGAGGGTGGTGATCAGTTTTAAGGAGAGGATGGGAAGCAATTGGAATCTTAGGTCGTTTCTACCTTTCATTCACTTGGCTGCTCTGCGCGTGGCCGGAGAGAAGACGGTTTTGAGTATAGGGAAAGGCTTTCGGTCTCATCCTGTGCACCAGCCTTATTATGCATATGAATGAACCAAAACGCCCGAGGCGTCCCGGGAGCACGCGTGACCCACCCAGTGGCAGAGGCCTCAGTGGCGGGAGTTCTTTTCCATTGAGCCAAGAAGCGGCGTTTGATGTGCGTTCTAGGAGAGCGAAGCCCCCAGGTTCCAGCGCTCCAGTGTCTCGCTTTCCGTTTCCATCCTCCTCGCTTGCGGGGAAGGGCTGGAGTAAGACGGGGCGGGGTCCGGACTGGGCGCGGTGACGTTAGCAGTGTTTGGGTGCTTATGCAAATGAGACTGCGACCGTTTCTTCTGGTCTGGCCGTTTTCCCCTCCAGGTCTTAAAGGTAGACCCGATCTTCGTCTGCACCATTTTGGCGGTTCACTACCCTGAGCAGTGTGGGAGGAATGAAGGGTTTGCTCTGTGTGCTTCATTTGGGCTCCTCATCGCCCATTCTGTAAAAGCGATTTTATACCTGTCAATACCTGCTTGCTTTTCTGGGATACCAGGAATAAAATGTTTGCTTTGGGGAATTATTCTCTGCAGACGCAGCCCCACGAAGCTCTTCGCCCCACCCAGCCTCGTTTCTGCAAGAACAGTCCTGAAATACAGACCTCCTTATGTCTTAGACGCCTAGTACTCGACTTAACTTGTACATAATACTTGATGATGGACTGAATTTTCTTTGAACAGTGTATTTCTCTCCTGTTAAATTCGAGATATTTGACCATAGAATCAGACGATTTTATTTTTGTGTGTTGGCTTTTCCATGTACATGTGTTGAAGTAAAATATATTATCCCAACAAACTGAATTTAAAGTTAAATTCATTGACCATTTTTTCCCAAGTAAAACTTTCAATGTGTTCTTTTCTCAGACAGAAATTAGAATTTTGAAAGAGTAATATTTTACTGTTTGTTGATAAGCTTTTCTTTTTCTGATTGCACATCATATACTTGATTCAAAACTATTTTATAATTCCAATCTAACTCAAGATGTAGTATTTTAATGGAACTAAGACAGGTATTTGTATATGTTTCTATTTTAGGAGATAAGTACTCTGTCACCCAATTAATAAGAAATAGCAAAGAATTTAAAAATTGGATAACTTAGCTATTTGAGATACCAATAATCAGATGAGATGCCTTACTTGTCAATTATTGAAACATTTAAAATAAGCCGCAATAGTTACTAAAACCTAAACTCCGTATTTATAATCATTACTTTACCTAATGATCGCAGTTCAAATTGTACTGTGTGCATGTTAGACAATATGCTTCTCCTGTCATAAAATAAAATTTGTATGTGAATAAGTAAGAAATTTACATCCCTTTTAACTCTGGGATTTTCATCGAGGCAATTAAAAGAACCATTGACTCAGAATGGCAGACCTGAAGGAAACCTTGGTGGTTATCAAAATCCCATATAAACTTTGCTTTCACTTCTTAATTTCTCTCTCAACTGCTTGTGAATATGTTAATTCTTTATTACTCCAACCATATGCATGATTGGATATACTAATATATTCACATGCAGAGTAGATTTTGAAATGGTTTCTGAGCAGATGGCATTATTAACAAAAGTCCACAGACATAGTCTAATACATGAAAAACATTCAAGGTTACATGACAGCAATTTTTAGATTTATTTCCAATTTTCTTATAGTACTACTCTTCTGGCAGTCTTTAGTAAATACTTTTTTGATACATTTATCTGCTTAAATATTAACTTTGACCAATAATTATAATCTTTTTCTCTGTGAATAAAAAGCCCTAAGGATAAACTGAGATACAGGATAATTTTAAATGCACGATATCTCTTGATATAGGATAGAACTGTTTTCAGCCTTGAAGGTCACATTATTTCCTTATAATTAATGTGCTAAGGTATCTTTTCACGTAAGATTAATTGATTGTTATCCTTAAATAGAATGTTTACTCTGGGAGCTTTTTCACCCAGCAGATTGGCAAAGATCAAAGAGATCACTTACTGTATTGAAAAGGGCAGAAGGAAACAGGCAATCCATATTGCTTGTAGTAGTGCAGATTGACACAATTTTTATAAAGGGCCATTTGGCAATATTTATCAAACTTGTGAAAGCACATACCCTTTGACCAAGCAATCCCACTTCTAGCAATTTATTCTACAGATATGGAAATGCCAGATATACAAAGTAATTTGTTGGAATGTTGTAGTAGCAAATTATCAGAATCAGATCTAAATCTATGGTGCACTTACACTAAGGAATAACATACAGTTATTTTAAAAAATTAAGCTGTTGTATTGAGATAAAAAGTTACTGCAAAAAATTTTTGAGTGAAAAACTGAGATGTAGAATTATGCATATAGTAATAGTTGTGTAAAAAGAGGCAGGTTGGGGGTGGGGAGAAAGCACATTAACTTGAATATATATACAGTATATATATATATATTAGCTTGAATGTACATAAAATATCTTTGGAAGACTTTGTTTACTTATAGCGAGCTAGAGATGGTACTGTATATGCTGGGGAAAGGGGGCAGGAAGATATTTTTCACTCTGTGTCCTTTAAAACCACATTATTGTATTATTTATTCAAAATATACATTTAAAATATTCTAAAGTGAAAACAACAGCAAATAAGCACCCTTAATACAGTAGTAGTCATGCATCAGATTCTGTCAAATTAGTAAGGTACAAAAGACAATGGGTATTTTGACTCCCATGATTTTTGTTGTTGTGTATGTATTCACAGGAAAGTTGCCTCTTTCAATATTTTTAGTAATAAAATTAGAGAAATAGTTTAGTGAATTAACTAAATTTGGCCAGTTATGTCAGCATAAAAATGCAGTTTTCTGGTGTTTTTTTAATCTTAATTTTGAGGTGGTTGTAGAATCATACATAGATGTTAAGAAATAACATAGAGAGTTTTTGTGAGCTGTTGACAAAATTTCCTACAAATGTAACATCTTGGAATAACTATACTACAGCATCCTAATCAGAGTATTGACATTAACATAGTCAAGTTACAGAACAGGAGAAAGAATTCTCTGTGTTGCCCTTCTATAACCACAACTACTTCACTCCTGCTCGCAGGATATCCTTAACTCCTGGTCACCTCTGGCCTGTTCTTCATGTTTATTATTTAGTCATTTCAAAAATGTTATATAAATGGAATCACATAGTATTTGACCTTTTGGAATTGTCTTTTTTACTCAGCGTAATTTTCTGTAGATTTATCTAAGTTGTGTTTATCAATTAGTAGTTTATTTATTTTTCTGAGTTGTACTCTATGGTATGGATGTGCTGGAGTTTGTTTACCCTTTCATCCATTGAATGACATCTGAGTTATTTATATCCACAAAGCCATATGGATACTCTGTATACATTTTTATGGAATGTAAGTTTTCATTTATCTGGGGTAAATGCCCGGGAGTGCAGTTACTTGATTATATGATGGTTGCATGTTTAGTTTTTTAAGAAACTGCCAGAGTCTTTTTCAAAGTGGTTGTACAATTTTATATTCTCACCAGCAATGAATGAATGATTCATTTTCTCTGTATCCTTGTCAGAATTTGGTTGTCACTGTATTTTAACCATTCTGATGGTATATAGAAACAGCTCATTGTGGTTTTAATTTGTATTTCCCTGAGAGCTAATAATATTAAACCTCATTTTATATGCTTATTTGCTATTCATAAGTAATAGTCAATGAAATGTCCCTTTATGTTCTTAACACATTTTCTAATTTTATTGTTAATAGTTGAGTTTTAGGAGTTTTTTATATATCCTATATACTAGTACTTTGTGGCCTTTGAATATTTTCTCCCAGTGTTTAGCTTGTCTTTTCATCCTCTTAATACGTTCTTTCACAGAGCAAAAGTTTTTAATTTTGAGCAAAAATAATTTTTTGCTTTGATGAGTCTTGCTTTTGTCATGTCTAAGAACTCTTTGCTTAGACCTAGATCTCAAAGATTTTCTCTGATGATTTTTTTCTAAAAGTTTTATAGTTTTATGTTTTACATGTAAGTCTGTGATCCATTTGAGTTAATTTTTGTATAAGGTGTGACGTTTTGGTAGAGATTATATTTTTGCTTAGGGATGTCCAGTTGTTTTCAGAACCATTTGTTAAACGGACTGTCTTTTTTCATTGACATTGCTTTTGCACT